TTAAAAAAATTTGAAGAATTTTTAAGACTTTGAAAATTATGGTATAATTTAATTTAGAGTTCTCAAGACTTACAAAAGTCTTGAGATATTCATTTGGTATTCATCCCGATGGATTAAATTATTTGGGATTAAGATTTGTTAAAACTTTTTAAGATTTGTTGGAATTTCTAAACAAATAAACATATACTAAAACTCATTACAAATCTCACATCCAAATTTAAAATTTCACAAGATTCCTCTAATTTAAAATTTTCAAATCTCGAATAGCCTTTAAATGTCACTCAAAATTCCAAACGAATACACCTACTTGTCGTGGATTTTACAAAAGCTACTTGCTAAAGAAGTATGAATATCTAGTTGCCACTTAAAATTGGTAAATTTTACTAAATGTAGTTAAGACTATATTGTCGAAAATTTTTACTAAAATAAAAACAACTTTAGTTACTAAAAAACAAAGTATCATAAATTATTAAGATTAAATAGATAAAATATTGTGAGTGAATCAATTTTTTGATAATAAAAAAAAATTATTTTCGAAATTCAAAGGTACTAAAGATAATAAGGAAAAAAGAGAAATGTAACGGCTACACAGTAAATGAGGTTTTGACCAATCTTAACATAGCAACACATTAATACAAATCAAACATGTTTTTATAATAAAATAATAAAAAAATAAAATTGAAAAGTAACGGTTTTTGGCGGGAAAGTGCCACATAGGTATAATTTAATAGGTTTTATTAAATGCTTATGAGCCAGTAATTATATATATAGATATATATATAAATTGGAGCAACAAAGCATTAAATTTTATTATCTAGCATTTAATTATATTATCCCTCCAAAATTTGAGCATTTAATTTTATTATCCCTTTAAAATTTTCAGCATTTAATCATATATCCTATTATATTGAAACGGTTATCTTCTATATTTGAATTAAATTACAACCTCAAATCATGCACTTATTTTGAATTATTGGACATGAAACGTGTAAGCATTGATATATAATCATTTTAGTTTCAAATAATAAAAAAATAAATTAAATTACAAAATTACATATTTAAATTGAAATAAATATCAATCTCCAGTCTGTTGTTGATATCGTACATGCAAAATAACAGTAAATAAATTAACAAAGGAAATATTAGCTATTATTATTAAATATCATCTATCACTTTAAATAGCGATTATTATAAAATGTGATATCATTAAACAAAAGCAACAAATAACAAAAAATTTGAAAAAAAATTACCCTAATTTGTGATAACATCACACTATCATAACATCATGCTATAATCATGCAATTAATTTTATATACATGTGGGTGGAGAAATCATGTCATTATATATATATATATAAAATTTATTTTCTTTGTTCTAACGTATTAAATAATGAATAAAAAACGTGTGAATTAATTTTTCATAATCTAATTTACTTTATTCCTAAAGCTGAAATATAATTCCTATTTGTTTTAAATTTTTTTTGCAAAAACACATAATACTCATAAAAATTCAAAATCTGCTATCAAACATCTCTGAATGTTGTATTCAAAATCTGCTATCAAACACATAATCACGGTGTCCTATGCTATGACGATCAACAAGAGTCAAGACCAGTCTCTCTCTCACACGTCGGTTTAGTCTTGAAGAACCCTGTTTTCAGTCATGGACAGTTGTACGTGGTTCTTTTTAAAGTCACAAATCGGAAGAGTTTGAAGATAATGATATGTGGTGATGGTGATTCCGACGGTATGAAAATCTTGAATGTTTATACAAAGAAGTGTCTAAGAATATTTAGAATCATTTTCTTAATTCATATTGTTTTAATTAAATCATGATTTTTTATTTTTTATTTTATATTCGTAACTCTTATAATTATTCTCCTCCGTGCAAATACACGAGTTGATTACTAGTTTAACATAAAAGAGCAAGACAAATTAACAGTCAAAATTATAATTGCATTGAAAACCTCATTAACATGGACTAACTAGACAAAACAGAGAACTTAACTTGAAATTAAAACTAATTAAAACCAATGGACCTTGTTGCAAATTTCAAAGGACATCACATGATATTTAATAATCAATCGATTGAGAATATCCATTACTTATTTTTTAACAAAACTATTTAAAAAAAAAAATTGTCATATAAAAACTAGAAAAAGGAAAGTACAATGGGAAAGGGAAACCCATATGAAAGAGAGAGTAATTTCATAATGATCCCCTAAAATCCAGCTATTTTTTCTTA